CTGCTGACCATTAAGTTTTCCTCGGACAGTCACCATTTGAAGTTTACAGTCGTGTGAAAGACAACCCCAGATCATAACCGATCCTCCACCATAAGGAACAGTAGGGTGGATATTCCTGGGCACGTAAGCAGTGTTTTTATGCCTCCACACTCTCATTCGACCATCTGTAACGTGGAGGAGGAACCTGCTCTCATCTGACCAGTGGACCCTCCTCCATGTCCTCAGGTTCCACTGCCGACGGGCCATACACCACTCCAGACGTCGTCTCTTATGGAGATCAGACAGAGCAGGACGTTTGATGACTCTTCTGGACCTCATACCAAGTGCCCTCAGGCGATTTCTGACGGTTCTGGTGGATAATTGTCTGTAGGGTAACCACAGGCGCTTCAAAACCGAACTTGTGGCAAAGGGTTCTCGCCTTACCAGACGTGCCAGGCTGCGATCATCACAGGCCGTTGTCTTCCTGGGTTGTCCAGGCCTTGGACGATCTCTCACATCTGTCATCTGATGTTTTCGGACAAGTCGGTTGATGACCGAGTGACTGTAGCCCAGCTGTCGTCCAATAGCTTTGAAGGACATGCCTGTTGCATGCATGCCGACAATTTGCCACCTTAGTGCTTCAGAAAGTCTTCTCCTCGCCATTTCAGTATTCATTAATGGAGACAGTTGCAAATTTGTCTGCTTTTATGCCCATAAATTGCATGTCAGAGAAACTGAATTTTGGGAAAAGTGTGGGTTGTATGCTTCACGTGCACAAGGGATGCGTTGTGACGAGTGCAATGGAACTGAAACACCTTTTTAGACTACTAGAGATGTGTTGTAATACAGAGATATCATTCATGTTTAACGATGGTTAACAGTTGCTCTACTATCATGAAATATATCAGGGGGTGCTTAATTAAATTCCAGGTGTATAGTTTAAAAGACCTTAATGAGATTGAAGACCAAAACTTAGAACTTACTATCAGTGATCCACTATTTTTGGAGACTTTCCTCATGAAAGTCAGAGGCAAAACTATCTCTTATGCAAGCTACCATAAAGAGAAAAAATTTGACACTCTAGAATTGGAAAACAGAATTAAAGAAAAGGAAGATGAAATAAGGAACAACTTTCAAGTAATCATTGAAGATCTCCTTGCTGAATTATCATCAGATAAATTGAAACTTGAAAATATTAAACAGGAACATACGAAAGATCTTGATTTTAGAACTAGATCTCTTTGGTATGAAGAAAGGGAAAAGCCGACAAGGTACTTTTGTCACCTGGAAAACCGTCAATATACCAGTAAATTATTGTATCCCTTATTAAAGACACTGGAGAGGAAATTTTTGATGTTAAAGAAATAATTAAAGAACAAAAATCTTTTTATGAAAATTTATATAAATCTTCGGATGTCACTACTGCGGATACTAGAAATATTTTGAATAATATCACAGTCCCAACTCTGGATAGTCAAACGAGTGAAACATTAGAAGAATATTTTGATTTGAAAGAAATAGCTTTTGATGTTAAATCAATGAAAAACAACAAATCTCCGGGACTAGATGGATTTCCAATAGATTTACTTAAATTCTTTTGGAAGGAATAAAAATTACGTATCTTTTCTTATTTGTAGCCGAAATTCTGGGCTGTATGATTAGGCAAAACAAAGACATTAAAGGTTATTGTTTGAATGGGCAAGAATATGTGTTAGGACAGTACGCAGATGATACCGAACTTTTTCTTGACGGATCTGAATCAAGCCTAAAAACTGCTACTGAAACGTTACACTCCTTTTATGAAATGTCTGGCCTCAAAATGAACATTGAAAAAACAAAAGTTATCTGGATAGGCTCTATGGCTGGTAAAAATATTAAGTTTTGCGAAAATTTAGATTTGGATTGGCACACAGACAACTTTGAAGTTCTTGGCATCATCCTTAATGCCAATTTACAAGACCTTTGGGTCATAAATACAAGAAAGAGAATCGAAACCATAAAGAGAATCCTCGCATCATGGAAGCATAGATCACTGACTTTGATTGGCAAAATTACAGTTATTAAATCCTTAGCGTTATCTACCTTAGTTCATATATTTTTAGCCCTGCCTACTCCCCCTGAAGCTTTTGTTAAAGAATTAAATCAAATATTTTTTTATTTTTTATGGAATGGGAAAAGGGACAAAATAAAAAGGAATAATATGATCAGGAAATATGATGAAGGCGGTCTAAGAATGATTGATATCAATTCTTTTATTCAAGCCTTGAAACTTTCTCATTTAAGAAAATGCTGCCAAAATCCCAACTTTATGAACCCAAGCCAGTTTCCCTTGTCTGAAATTTTTCTCATTGAGGAGCAAATATTAATATCCGAAATAACTGTAAAAATCCTTATTGGAGAAGTGTTCTGGATGCATGGTCAAACTATCTAAGAATCGAGAAAGAATATCCTGATAATATCAATTACATCTTATCTCAACCCCTTTGGTTGAATCATCAGTTTAAAGATAAATCCTTCTTTATACAAAACTGGTACCACAAAGGGCTGCATTGTGTTAGGGATGTTTATAACACAAGAGGCCTAATGACTTTCAATGAACTGAAAAACGTATATGATATCCGGGGAACTTTCTTAGATTATCACAGACTGCTATCTAGCATCCCTCCTAAGTGGAAACAGTGCATCAACCAGCAAATGTGTATTATAAAATCTAACCTGACAATTGGAAACAGTTTACTCGATTTGCTTAAGCCTGGAAAGGGCTCCAGATATTTTTATGATAATATCATCACTTGTGATACGTGCCCCACAGTATGCAAAAAAATGGGAGGAAAACTTTAATCTTGACTCTCCAAACTGGAAAAATATATTTCTCCAGTATAGGGGTTGTACAAAAGATGTAAAACTTTTAGAATTTAGATTTAAATTTCTTCACCGCATAGTTTACACTAAGAGGGAACTAAAGGTTATGAACCTAGTAAACGATGATATCTGCACTGTTTGTAAAACTGACTGGGAAGACTTAGCTCATGTTTTCCTTCAATGTGAATATGTAAAACATTTTTGGGTGACTCTGGAACTATTTCTGAATACCCACATTAATATGGGTATAACTCTGGATACCAATGCAATCCTTTTTGGCTATCCAGACCAATATAAATTGCTGAATCACCTAATCCTACTGAGCAAAAGGCATATTTTTCTATGCAGTCTAAAGGGCAACACCCTATCAATGGATAAGGTTATATATAACATCAGACAAGTTTATGCCATTGAAAGGTTCATTGCTTATAAGAACAACAAATATGATGCCTTTGAAATTTTTTGTCTCCACGCACAAATAGTTTTAAACTTTAAGTAGATGTATTACATATAGATGTTATTTAGCATTGTCTTTCAGCCACAGTTACTACTCGATGTAAACAATGTACAATCACTGAACTTTGTTGCTCCAACACACTGTGACTACAGCTACTGACTGTCTTCTCTCTGAGAATTTTGTACCACTTCTGAGTCTTAGGATCCATAACCCGTAGATTTTTAGTCAGATAAACTACATCTGATGGTGTTTACTATTGGCTTATAGTTATATACCATGTGCAAACACTATGCCTTTTTTAACCTTTTCAGGTCAATATGTATACACATCTATAGTCAGATAAATCACACCTGATATGGTAGCCTATTAGCTCATAGTCATAGAGTGACTCTTCTTGCAGACATTCTGCCACTGTTCAATTATTGTATTTTCAAACATGCTTGTACATCTCTAAGCTGACAAATTACATCTGATCGTGTATACTATTGGCCATATGTGCCTTTCTTGAACTTTGCATCTCAAACAGTCAGATTGTCTGTCTATATCTGATTTTACGTATCACTAGCATACAACCTTGAAGTTTACAATCTCTGTCAAACATTGTGCCAATCTTGAACCGGTTTGTACCAGCCGGAGATAGAGTATATCTGGTTTTATACAGCAGTTTTATATAATACTGTATATCTGTACAGCCATAGAATTACTTCGTTACACTTTTCAATGTCCATCTCCTTGAACTTTGTTATGAAGCTTGTACCACAACAGCCTGATGCCGGTTCGTACCCATGTGTGAAATCCATGTTTTACCCATGTGTTTGTACCCATTATGCTGGAAGAAAAAAAGAAAAAAAAGAAACAAACCTCCAGTGACGTCACTCTATTGTCTCGCCAGGTTCTTTTACAGAGTAAACCTCTACGGGCAGATTCGCAGGCATTCTCCATGAATTCCCGTTGATTTTCTACAGAATTGCCCGCATCTTGGGAATTTTCTGAGGAATAGCCCTTGACTTTGAATTATTACTTGTTTAGAAGATTGATATAACTTTGTCTTGCTATCACTGAATGCGATCGTAAAATATCACATTATTGAAAACTTCCAACATACTGCGCCGGTACCTGTGAAATTAAGATTTGCGAATCCTTATAATATTACCTTGCCAATTGAATATTTAACTCTCACTTTTTTTTTAACAAACGATCATAGATCAACTTATGATACAAAGTTGTTTAAACAAACGATCATAGATTCAAATCGTTATTATTGGTTTGTATTACAAAGGGCATAATATACCTGCGCAGTAGTAGGAACAGTGTATCTGAAACAAATGCACGTGCTGTACGTGATGAGGCGTTACTTTACACCAACCTTACGTGTTCTCAGCTTTCATTTAATGTGCATAATACACAGTATGTACCTGAGGCTGCCACACGGTATGTGTCGGAGATGAGGCTCTCACACACAGTGTCTCACACAGTATGTATCTGAGGCTGCCACACGGTATGTAGTGTCGGAGATGTCTCACACAGTGTGTACCACAGGCACTCACACAGTATATGTACCTGAGGCTCTCACAGTCTGTACCACCGACACTCACACAGTATATGTACCTGAGGCTCACACAGCCTGTACCACAGACACTCACACAGTATATGTACCTGAGGCTCACACAGTCTGTACCACAGACACTCACACAGTATGTACCTGAGGCTCCCACACAGTATGGCAGATATGAAGAGTCCAGGCAGCCCTGGCAGATCTCCCAAGATGTCCATCACCATCAGAGGAAGCATCTGCAGACAGACCATTTCAGTCTAGATACTCGCCTTAATCTGTATTTTTATTAATGACATACATAAATATTTTGCATTTATCAGTAATCATAAACAACATCGTACATTTATGTAAAAGTACGGGCTGCAATTAAAAGGATGCCCTCGTGTCCACTTAAACCTGCCATGGTTTTAATTTTTTGTAAAGTAAGATGAGTTACCTAATTTATCCTTACACGTACCTATACGTGATTGATAGGTAAAATGGTTTTGAAATGCAAGGGTCGGAACGTTTGAGATGGCGATCCATGGGGATGGATCCAGAGATTAGTAAAGAATTACCGCATTGCTCGCTCTGGAGATATAGAGGATGGTATTTGATGTGTGTGCTGACGTACCTGATCGTCCTTGTCGATGAGGTTGAAGCTGACGGGGTGACAGTCACTGTAGAAGGCGAACATGATGACACCGACCATCACAAGGAGGATATAAACTAACATGTAGCCTACTCCATTGATTGCCAGAGCTCTGAAAACCAAAAGGAACTGCGTATATGAGTCCGATACAACTAATGTGATGGCACGTGGAGGTTGCGAGACACATGTGCAGGCCGTACGTCGTTTTCAGCATAGTTACCTGTTTTTAAAACTACCTTGTGTACATGTGTAATTTTAACTATTCTTATAGTTCTGTAACATTCTATGTAGATATGTCGATTTGAATGATTGAATGACGCATGATGAAGTTTTTGAAACGTTATGAATGTATGAATGTGACTAAACTTACTAAGATTATGAGTGTGGGAATGGTTGTATGTGTGTGGTGGTGGTGGTAGTGGGGGGGGGGGTGGTGGTTAGGATGGGATGCTGCAGTGTTGTGTAATGGGTGTACAGGTTGGGTGGTGGGAGAGGAAGTTGTGTGTGGGGGGGGATGTGGATGTGTGTGGGGGGGGATGTTGATGTAGGATGAGATGCTGTAGTATTGTGCAATGGGTGTAGAGGTTTGGTGGTGGGAGTGGAGGATGTGTGTGTGGGTGTGGGTGGGTGGGGTGGGGGATGGGGATGTATGTGGGTGTAGGATGGGATGATGTAGTGTTGTATAATGGGTGTAGAGGTTTGGTGGTGGGAGTGGAGGAGTGTGTGTGTGTGTGTGTGTGGGGGGTATGTGGGTGTAGCATGGGATGCTGTGTGTGTTGGGTAATGGGTGTAGAGGTTTGGTGGTGGGAGCGGAGGATGTGGGTGTGTGGGTGTGGGTGTGAGTGTTGGGGGTATGTGGGTGTAGTGTGGGATGCTGTAGTGTTGTGTAATGGGTGTAGAGGTTTACTGGTGGGAGCGGAGGATGTGTGTGTGTGTGGGTGGGGGTGTTTTTGTTGTGTGGGGGTATGTGGGTGTAGTGTTGGATGCTGTAGTATTGTGTAATGGGTGTAGAGTTTGGTGGTGGGGGTGGAGGATGTGTGTGTGTGTGTGCATGTGTTTGTTGTGGGGGTATGTGGGTGTAGTGTTGGATGCTGTAGTATTGTGTAATGGGTGTAGAGTTTGGTGGTGGGGGTGGAGGATGTGGAGTGTAGAGTGTTGTGGATGGGATGGGATGCTGTAGTGTTGTGTAATGGGTGTAGAGGTTGGGTGTGGGAGTGGAGGATGTGGGTGTGGGTGTGTATATGTGTGGGGAGGGGGATGTGGATGTAGGATGGGATGCTGTAGTGTTGTGTCATGGGTGTAGAGGTTGGGTTGTGGGAGTGGAGGATGTGGGTGTAGTGTGGGTGGGGGAGGAGGATGTGGGTGTAGTGTGGGGGAGGATGTGGGTGTAGTGTGGGATGCTGTAGTGTTGTGTAATGGGTGTAGAGGTTTGGTGGTGGGAGTGGAGGATGTTGGGTATATGTGTGTGTGTGGGGAGGGATGTGGATGTAGGATGGGATGCTGTAGTGTTGTGTAATAATGTAGAGGTTGTTGTAGGAGTGGAGAGGATTGGGTGTAAGTTGTGGGATGTGGGTGTAGTGGAGGATGTGGGTGTGTGGGATGCTGTAGTGTTTGTGTAATGGGTGTACAGGTTGGATGTGGGTGTGGAGGATGTGGGTGGATGTGGAGGACGATATGTGGGTGTAGTGTGGGATACTGTAGTGTTGTGTAATGGGTGTAGAGGTTTGGTGGTGGGAAGTGGAGGATGTGGGTGTGGGTGTGGGGACGATGTGGGTGTAGTGGTGTATGTGGGTGTAGGATGGGATGATGTGTTGTGTGTTGTGTAATGTGGAGGGATGGTGTAGATGTGGGTTTGGTGGTGGGAATAGTGGAGATGTGGATGTGGGTGTGGGGTGGGTGGGGTGGGTGGTAGGGGTGTATGTGGGTGTAGGATGGGATGATGTAGTGTTGTGTAATGGGTGTAGAGAGAGTTGGGTAGTGGTGTGTGGAGAGATGTGGGTGGGAGTGGGGGACGATGTGGGTGTAGTGTGGGATGCTGTAGTGTTGTGTAATAGGTGTAGAGAGTTTGGTGGTGGGAGTGGAGGATGTGGGTGTGGGTGTGGGTGGGTGTGGGTGTATTGGTGGGGGTGTATGTGGGTGTAGGATGGGATGATGTAGTGTTGTGTAATGGGTGTAGAGGGTGGTGGGAGCGGAGAGGATGTGTGTGTGTGTGTGTAGTAGTATGTGGGTGTAGGATGGGATGCTGTGGGTGTTGGGTAATGGGTGTAGAGGTTTGGTGGTGGGAGTGGAGAGATGTGGGTGTGTGGTGTGGGTGTGAGTGTTGGGGGTATGTGGGTGTAGTGTAGGATGCTGTAGTATTGTGTAATGGGTGTAGAGGTTTGCTGGTGGGAGCAGGAGGATGTGGGGTGGGGGTGGGGGTGTTTGTTGAGGTATGTGGGTGTAAATGTGGGATGCTGTAGTATTGTGTAATAGGTGTAGAGGTTTGGTGGTGGGAGTGGAGGATGTGGGTGTAGTGTGTGTGAGGGAGATGTGGGTGTGTGTGGGGGGATGTGGATGTAGGATGGGATGCTGTAGTGTTGTGTAATGGGTGTAGAGGTTTGGTGGTAGGAGTGGAGAGATGTGGGTGTGGGTGTATGTGTGTGTGGTGGGGAGATGTGGATGTAGGATGGGATGCTGTAGTGTTGTGTAACAGGTGTAGAGGAGTTGGGTGGTGGGAGTGGAGGGATGTGGGTGTGTGGGTGGGGGAGGATGTGGGTGTAGTGTGGGGGAGGATGGTGTAGTGTGGATGGTAGTGTAGTGTAACAGGATGAGGTTGTAGTGTGGGTGTGGAGGATGTTGGTGTGGGGGAGGATGTGGGTGTAGTGTGGGATGCTGTAGTGTTGTGTAACGGGTGTAGAGGTTGGGTGGTGGGAGCGGAGGATGTGGGTGTGTGTAGTAGCTACGTGCATTTAGCATTCATTTGGTGTGTATGCGTGTTGCGATTAAAGGCGTGAGTGGGCTGAAGAGTTAAGACTGACTGACTAGCAATATTCTAGCAATATCACGGCCGGGGACACCAGAAATGGGCTTTACACATTGTGCCCATGTGGGGATTCGAACCCGGGTCTTCGGCGTGACGAGCCAACGCTTTAACCACTCTATAGGCTACCCCACCGCCCCGAAGAGTTTAGAATAATGTGTGAGTGGTGTGGGGAGTACTGGGAAAGTGTTGACTGTTTAAGTTATGTTTGTTTTAAGTATAAATTAAGGAAAAAGGTCTCCCATAACCCATGTGAGTGGCTAATACAACAAAAACAGCTCTCTCTCTGTCTCTCTCTCTCTCTCTGTCTCTCTCTCTCTCTCTCTCTCTCTCTCTGACTGTCTGTCTGTCTGTCTGTCTCTGTCTCTCTCTCTCTCTCTGACTGTCTGTCTGTCTGTCTGTCTCTGTCTCTGTCTCTGTCTCTCTCTCTCTGACTGTCTGTCTGTCTGTCTGTCTGTCTCTGTCTCTCTCTCTCTCTGACTGTCTGACTGTCTGTCTGTCTGTCTGTCTCTGTCTCTGTCTCTCTCTCTCTCTCTCTCTCTCTCTCTCTCTCTCTCTCTCTCTCTCTCTCTCTCTCTCTCTCTGTATTTGTGGGCGAAGGCAATTTCTTTCGACAACTCAAAGAACAACTGTGTTCAGAAAGGCAAATATGTGTGTGAGGCTTACAGTCATTTCATGTTATATGTCTTAGGTCTGGGAAATAGTTTGATTTTCACGAGGTAACTAAAAATGTAACATCTTTTTTTGTTATTAACGTTTCACAGGGCTGTAATGGGTGAGAACTGTAACATACAGGGAAGTGAGGGAGTGAGTGAGTCTAGTTTTACGCCGCACTCAGCAATATTCCAGCTATATGGCGGTGGTCTGTAAATAATCGAGTCTGGACCAGACAATCCAGGGATCAACAATATGAACATTGATCTACGCAATTGGGATACAATGACATGTGTCAACTCAGTCAGCGAGCCTGAATATACAGGGAAGGAGAATGAAGGTAGTGAACAAGGAAATATTTCTTACCAAGATCCATACACATGATGTATGTGAATCACCATGATGACACACTATATATCAAATCTGGGTCATGATCCATCTCCTAGAACAGTGCGATAACATGAGTAACTGTGCCATCGGACAAAGACATTGCTCCCGCAACGTCATTACACCGATGCAGCAAGAAATGATTTAACTAATATATCGACTAGGTCATACTCATATCACAAAACATCCAATAACTGTCATTCTTGAATTTGAGTAGCCTCCCTTGAGTGCCAGGATCTGCTGAAGTTCTTCAGCGCAATACCCATGGTCGCAGGTTTCCCCTCAAGCGTAACATGTTCAACACAAAGCAGACATTACCTAACTGATACTACTCAAGCTTGCGTTTATCCCACCTGACTGATGTAGCCTCAAATGCCATCAGATCAACTTACATCTGGGCTGTCTTGAGAGTTGAACAAGACAGTGCCCTCTGGACCTCCGCTTGGTTGGTTCCATAAGTACCCATAAAAAAAGTCCCAAACCCAAACAGATATGTCCACACCGAATACGTCGTGGTCGGATCGAAGGTGACTCTAAAACAGAGGTGGCGAAAGGGGTTTAACTTTGCGTTCAAGATGCTTGTGTGCGTACGTGGCTGACTACTGATCCAGAATTAAGCCACTCTTATAAGCTAAGCCACCTAGATGATATTCCGCAGTTCAACGTGAAGACCACACACACAGCATTCTGAGAAGAACAGTCATCGTTTTATCCTCTTCATTCCGAATGGCAACTGCCACCTTTTAACGTCTTTTAGTATGAAGTGGTTGTGGATTTAACCACTGACCTTACGCTCTAAAGGCTGTCACTATGCAACTGAGGCCTAGAGAAGTATAATATTCAGTTTCTCTTATAAGCTAAGCCACCAAGATACTGTGCCGCAGTTCAACGTGAAGACACAGGATTTTGAGCAGGAAGTCCATGTTTCACTGCCTTCATTCCGAAGAGCGAGTGTCAGCTTTTAAAATCTTTTTGTATGAAAGGCTGTTGGTTAAGCAGCTGAACTGGCACTAATCTCAAAGAGATGCATGCATAACAGTCATTTTTCTGTATTCAAACAATTAATGATAATTCATTCAACGATTTCGCTTTAGGTAATCAGAATCAGAGACAAGCGTTAATATATAAGATTAAGCAAGAACTGACACTGAGAAATACTTCCGGGGTAGAATAAATAAACAAATTGAAGGTATATCAACGACAATTGATACTGGTAAGAAATGGTGAAAGATATATTCCGTGGGGTGAATAGTTTTAATGATTGCATCTGATTAGTATTCAACTCCATCATACTCATCTAACTTGATCCGGGATCTATTCTCGGCGACTGCCCAGGCCACACTGAATCCACCAACAGCTGCAGAACCTTTGATAACGAGGACAACGCAGCCTACGATAATGATGCCAGCTTGGAGAGTGTCCGCCCACAGTACAGCCCTCATACCACCCTAGAGGGAGGCACAAAGCACATGGGGTAATCGTGTACTAAGCAATGTGTGATCATTTGTTGCCAGTTTAATCTGTATGAAAGCAGTAACTGGAACCCATGAAGCCGAGAAGCCAGACTGCTTACAAACACAGGATTCAAGGTCCCTATTTTCGGAATCCCCACAGCTGACATGCATGATGTACCAGGGACCAATTTTCTCAGAAACCCCCAATAGTGGGTCATGCAAGGCGTAGTGGGAAGTTATCTTTCTATGTCCGAATCCCTGCAAGTGTCATGCAAGGTGAACTGATGAGTTTTTGGTCATTCTCGAAATGCTTGCAGGTGTCATGCAGAGTGAACTTGTGAGCTATGTTTCCAAACAGGTGGTACATTCAGATTATCGACAATTACATCGGACAGTGAAATCTATGGCCTATTCCCTGGATATACTACTCAACGTTTGAAAGGCATATTTAGATATATCATGTTATTTAAACATACACATATCATATTATGGCAGAAATATTCATGGGAAAAAAAACCCCATAGTTGTCATTTCTGAATCAGTGGCTTCTCTAATAACATTTAGTTTCAATATGAAGTCATTCAGGCAATATAAATGTATGCAAAATTATTCCCACCATCGCAGTGTATAATGTGCTGACTGATCCAAGGACTATGACGATTCCCCAAAGGTTGAAACCCGTCACTGAAAACACATTGGAGAGAGATACGACAAATGTGTTACGGAGATTCCTCAGTCCATACAATTGACAGTTACTGGCTTGGTATTCACATTAAGGAAGACTAATGAGGACAATGTCACTCTATCACAGCTTTAAGTAGGAGACAATTGTATTATCCAAATTACGATAAAATACAAACAGCTTATGGGACGTGAATTTTAGAAGGGACATTGCACCATTATTGCATTGTCGTGTTGATACCCTTACAAAAGCAAGAAAAGTGTCACAATCAAACGACACAATGCAGTTGAACCCAGTCACTGAAAACATATTGAAGAGAGATACGAGAAATGTGTTACGGTTTTTCTTAGTCCACACAATTGGGAGTTTCGGGTTTGTACGGAATTGTTATTCAAATTACGCAAGATTAAATTATGGCAATGTCGCTCTGTCACAGCTTTACGTTGGGAGACTATTACAGTATCCAAATAACAATAAAGTACCAACAACCTATGAGACGTGAAACAGTTGAATCCTAGAAGGGACATTGTAGCATAGCTGCATTGCCGTGTTTTGGAGCTTACAAAAACCAGCTTACAAAAACTTGTTATTCACATTAAGGAAGAGTAATAAGGACAATGTCACTCTATCACAGCATTACGTAGGAGACAATTGTATTATCCAAATACCGATAAAATACAAACAGCTTATGGGACATGAATCCTAGAAGGGACATTGTACCATTGTTGCATTGTCGTGTTGATGCCCTTACAAAAGCAAGAAAAGTGTCACAATCAAACGAGACAATGCCACATCCCAATTGAAAAATGAATTTTCTCGTTATGTGAGAAAATGAGTTCAGTCTGTTAAAAAGCTTGACAAACACTGGTATGTGTTTGTTGTTGATCGCAACTGATCGAACATTTGTTTATTGATCCTTACCTGCACTGACAGCAATGGATGGCAAATACAGAACTACCGACGTGTAGAATCCCTGTGTGGAAGTAGAAAACCAAATTATCGGGGTTCATTTCTCTTAAAAGCTACAGTCAGGTTTAACGACTAGATTCGTTCCCCAGTCTATTGGTTTAATTGTTACCCATATGGATACAATGAGATGATGTAGTGAGTAAGTGAGTTTAGTTTTACGCCGCACTCAGCAATATTTCAGCGATATAGCGGCGGCCTGTAAATAATCGAGTCTGCGGTCCAGTCAATCCAGTGATCAACAACATGAGCATCGATCCACGCAATTGGGATACGATAAAGTGTCAACCAAGTCACTGAGTCTGACCACCCGATCACGTTATTCGCCTTTTACGACAAGCATGAGTTACTGAAGATCAATTCCAACCCGGATCTTCACGGGTCCTGTTCCGGAATAAAATTTACAGCTAAGTACCACCTCATATACTCATTCTAAAATACCGGGGGCAGTAATACAAATACAGTTCTTTTAGCAAAGAGCACCTGACATATGTTTTGACTGCGAGGCAACAATCAATGCCTTGATAATTGAAATGTTTATTTATTTCTCAGTCGTTCTCTTATCTCTATTTCTTGGATAGAAAGTAAATCTTAATATGGGCAGACATTTGATTAACAATTCTACACCATTTTCCTGCATACGGAATTGAAAAAAATACATAATATAAGATAAATTTCATGCTGTAAATGTTACATTAATTACCATAGCGATGAGGAAAAAAACCAACACAGTTGTCCGGACCTGCTTGTCAAATCTCATTTCGAGGAACTGAAAAAAAAGAAATGCTACCTATTTTTTACAGTTTTAAGAAAATATACCTCTCTGCTGAATTTCAGTTGCACATATCTGTACTTAGCAATATTTAATTAAAACATTCACTGTACTGGTGCCTACACGACACCCAAAGAAAACATACTTGATTTATATTTTTGGCAACATAATTTAATCAACAACTTTTGAAAACAAACATACCTAATTTTCAAAATACACAATTGTCGGTGGGTATCTTAGACCCTAGCTTATTTAAACTATATTACCTGAATGGATCTGATACAATATTTACAGTTCCCCAGCCTGTTGACACTATTTTCTCTGATAATACCTGATGTAAGTGTCAGAGATCCCCAGTATATGTAAACTGTTTTCCATGAATATGCCTGATGCAAGTTTCAGAGATACTCACTATATATAAACTGTATTCCATGAGTATACCTGATACAGGTTTCAGAGATACTCAGTATATATAAACTGTATTCCATAAAAACTACCTGATGCAAGCGTCAGAGGTGCCATGTATTTCTAAAAGAAACAACATTTTCCCTGAATAAACCTGATACCGGTGAAAAAGATGTCCAGTATATATAAGCTGTATTCCATGAATATACCTGATGCAAGTGTCAGAGATACCCAGTATATAAAAACCCAAACATTTTCGCTGAATATACCTGACACAAGTGTCAGAGATCCTAGTATATATAAGCTGTATTCCATGATTATACCTGATACATGTGTCAGAGATCCCCAGTATATATAAGATGTATTCCATGAATATACCTGGTGCTAGTGTAAGAGATCCGCAGTATATACAAACCATTTCCCTGAATATGCCTAATACAAGTGTCAGAGTTCTCCAGTATGTGTAAGCTGTATTCCATTAATATACCTGATACAAGTGTCAGAGATCCCCAGTATATATATGCTGTATTCCATTAATATACCTGATACAAGTGTCAGAGATCCCCAGTATGTATAAGCTGTATTCCATTAATATACCTGATACAAGTGTCAGAGATCCCCAGTATGTATAAGCTGTATTCCATTAATATACCTGATACAAGTGTCAGAGATCCCCAGTATATATATGCTGTATTCCATGAGTATACCTGATACAAGTGCCAGATATCCCCAGTATCTATAAACTATATTCCTGAATACACATGATACAAGTGTCAGAGATCCCCAGTATATATATGCTGTATTCCATTAATATACCTGATACAAGTGTCAGAGATCCCCAGTATATATAAACTGTATTCCATTAATATACCTGATACAAGTGTCAGAGATCCCAGTATATATAAACTGTATTCCATGAAAATACCTGATACAAGTGTATGCCATGTATTTCTAAAAAACAACATTTTCCTGAATATACCTGATACAAGTGTCAGAGATCCCCAGTATATATAAGCTGTATTCCATGAATATACCTGATGCAAGTGTCAGAGATCCCCAGTATATAAAAAAAAACTGTTTTCCTGAATATACCTGATACAAGTGTCAGAGATCCCCAGTATATATAAGCTGTATTCCATGATTATACCTGATACATGTGTCAGAGATCCCAGTATATATAAGATGTATTCCATGAATATACCTGGTGCAAGTGTCAGAGATCCCCAGTATATATAAACTATATTCCCTGAATATACCTGATACAAGTGTCAGAGATCCCCAGTATGTATAAGCTGTATTCCATTAATATACCTGATACAAGTGTCAGAGATCCCCAGTATATATATGCTGTATTCCATTAATATACCTGATACAAGTGTCAGAGATCCCCAGTATGTATAAGCTGTATTCCATTAATATACCTGATACAAGTGTCAGAGATCCCCAGTATATATATGCTGTATTCCATGAGTATACCTGATACAAGTGCCAGATATCCCCAGTATCTATAAACTATATTCCTGAATACACATGATACAAGTGTCAGAGATCCCCAGTATATAAAAAAAACATTTTCCCTGAATATACCTGATACACGTATCATAGATCCCCAGTATATATAAGCTGTATTCCATGATTATACCTGATACATGTGTCAGAGATCCCCAGTATATAAAAACCCTCAACATTTTCCCTGAATATACCTGATACCGGTGACAGAGGTGTCCAGTTTCTATAAACTATATTCCCTGAATATACCTGATACACGTATCAGAGATGCCCAGTTTCTATAAACTATATTCCCTGAATATACCTGATACAAGTGTCAGAGATCTCCAGTATATATAAACTATTTTCCCTGAATATAACTGGCACAAGTGTCAGAGATCTCAAGTATATATAAACTGTATTCCCGGAATATACCTGATACCAGTGTCAGAGATCCCCAGTATATATAAACTGTATTCCCGGAATATACCTGATACAAGTGTCAGAGATCTCCAGTATATATAAACTACATACTCTGAATATAACTGGCACACGTGTCAGATATGCCCTGTATCTATAAACTCTATTTCCTGAATATACCTGATACTAGTGTCAGAGATCCCCAGTATTTATAAACTATTTTCTTTGAATATATCTGATACTTAAACTGTATTCTGATGTTTCAGAGTTGCTTTGGTGACATGAATCAGTTTCTTGAAAAGTGCTGCTGAATAATTTGCTAGCGCTAGCGTGATCATTCAAGGAACTTCAAACTTGGCAAAAATGCTGCAGGTAGCAAGAATTTAGCCTGCCTAAGTCGTCAAAAAGGAATAAGGTAAATATGGCTTTATTTAGTTAGGTATACCTGAAATACATTGGTGATTCCGAGCTGGTAGAAGAAGGGCACGAAGATTCTACCAACTATCGCACAGCCACTAGCTACAGCAACCCCAAACCAAACCACCATGGTGTTGTTTCTGTACACCTCCACGGGTGCCCCTAGCAACGATAAGGCCGAGAGGTACGTCACCATCATTGACATTGACACAGGGATGTAGTGCATGCGGCGCCCGCCTAAAAGATACTCATTTACGTTGTTATGGTGACGGTCCTTGATGACGTAGAAGACCCCGATGGCGGCTGAAGACACTAACATGGCGGCGGTAATGGTGTAGTCAGCCACTCCGAAAGTTTGAATCTTTCCTGTGTTGATGCTATACCTTCCTTCGACCTCCATGGTGGGATATCAAGGCACAGATATGTTTTCTGGAACATTGGAAAACATGAATGTGTGTGTATGCGTGTGCGTGTGTGTGTGTGTGTGTGCGTGCGTGCGTGCGTGCGTGCGTGCGTGTGTATGTGTGTGTGTGTGTGTGTGTGGATGGATGGGATGGATGTATGACTGGTTGGTTGGTTGGATGGAAGTACTATGCCCCACAAAAGAGAAAGATTTTGTTTTAAGTTTTAACTACAGGATATGAAGGATATATTGAAAAAAACCAAGCTCTGCTTCTTGAATATGTTTACTTATTAGATATATATCTGCAAAGTATATGTGTTACCAAGCATATGTGAAAATCTTTTGCCATCAAGAATTATAATGAAATTGAGCGTACGTGATCATATTTGTGTGACGCAAGAGTACATATATAGTTTAGTTTCAGTGTGATATGTCCATAATTATTACACGGTAACAAACGTTCATTAAAATTCATTTGGTAAAGCCGTTTCTCACATATCAACAATGACCAGGTGAATACATAAGGTGCTAGAGAACACAAACGCAGCAAGTGTCATTTAACAGCAATACCCTACCGTATATATATTCTAAAGTAAATATATTTCTTAATCAAGCTAGATAAACGAAAGAGCGTCGTTTTTCACAGAGATTTAGGAGTTTCCAATTTCATGCCACGACCAAATTATCGTCCAAACATCCTAATTAATGTTACGCTTTTGAAATATAAAAAAAGCATGTTGTACCTGAGAAGATGCTTTTTTCTGCATATGATTCCAATTGGAACAACAATGCTTTTTTTGACCTAAACTGTCAGGAACAAATCTGAATGCACAAAAGTCATCCTCTCAGTTATTCAAATTCCTTTCATTGTGATAAGAAAATCTTAAAGATTATTCAATTATTTAATAGTATTACAGATATATAATTATTTACATTTCAATAATTCAGAAACGTATTTGACATTTTCAGTTTTCAGAATGACGAACACAAAATGTAAATGTTTTAAAATACTATTTACAATTAAAATACAGCTTGTTTCGATTCTATCTGGATGTACAGTTCTACTAAAATGTCCCTCTTTTAAGGGAGAAAGGGTACGTTTAATGCATCCAATCTGCGAGAAGTCAAATCAAATTTAATGAAACGAAAGCGAAATAAACCGTCACAAAACAAAGATAATATTCCTGTGTATATACGAACAAAATATTAATGGATGTTTGAAAAGGTTTACAACAGTAATACAATAGAACAAAAACAAATGACCAGCGAAAGAACTGACGTCAAAACGTTATTAATATATACAAACACTTATACATCTGCTGCAGAAACAAACATAAAACACACCTAGAAGCAATCTAACAATTGATCATACGAGTCATTCGAATCATTGTCACTATTGATCTTGCTAACGTTGTGTATCCTCCAACACATATGTTCCTTCCATGAAATGTACAGTATACATGAATTATTTATCAGAACCATATTTGTATATATTTTGTTGAGGTAGACGATGTATTTGCACAAACAAAATGTTATTTAACGATTACGATTTAAACTGATATACCTTACGGACTCTTGAACTTGAGTGTTGAAGAAAAGCCTCCAGGGTGGTGTTCCTGTTCTTGCAACAAAAGCCAATACCAACAAAGCGTCAAACGTTTTTATAAAGCTATCCCAATCAAATAAAACACGATGAAAAATTATTATTTGAATTCATTATATGAATGACATGCGCGTCTGACCAATACACACACTAGTATTAATGAAATGGACGTTTTTGTCCAGTCAGTGGTCAAGCTTTTGTTAGTGTGAGCCATGACGGAGAATGACTTTGACACGCCCGTAGGACGATAGTTCCACATGATTACAGTATGCCAGCACCAACAAAGAGATTTGACAGCTGAATATGGACAGCAGTTGCATATTTGATGTACATCATCTGAGGGGAGACTAGTGGTTTCCCTATTCTGTTGATATGTGCCAGTCTTCATGAAAATCAGTTAAATCCCCTTCTTGCTGATCTCTTCGTACATGAATCAGAATGTCCGGTCGAAGAGAATAAAACATGGGAATTTGGCCAAGCCATTTACTTAGGCAACAGTTATGTAAATGATCCGATATTGTTCTATATACGTCAACAATACTGGCACGTGTTCTGCTCATGTATCCTGGAAATATATATGCTGCTATAAAGATTCTGAGTAACAACAAGCAATTAACAAGGCTCAATAACAAAAGTATGGTGGCTGATTAGGGCCATCGTTGTCTCGCGTTATCGCTTTCTCGTCTCGTGCTATTGCTTTCTCGTCTCGTGTTATCGCTTTCTCGTCTCGTGCTATCGCTTTCTTGTCTCGTGTTATCGCTTTCTCGTCTCGTGTTATCGCTTACTCGTCTCGTGTTATCGCCTTCTCGCTTTCTCGCCTCCGAATTTTAAGGCGAGAAAGCGTTGGCCCTAATCAGCCACCATACAAAAGGGATGACTACGACATTCCAATAGTCAACTTTCCCTTCATGTCGAACAATATTCAAGCAGGTCCAGCCGTTAGTGTCTACCTTTCTACAAAAATTACACGGAGCAATATGAAACGTTTGCTCATTAAAAGGCTTACACGAGATTACAGAATTGAAGGTTTATTACTAAGGAAATAAATGCTCTTTAAAATCTTATTTAGACATGGTTTGCATGTGCTGGCTATGAGGTGCCTAACTCTGAGAGTACGGATTCGAATCCCTGATGTATCAGGACCTGTACTTAACAGAGGAAAAACAATCTCAAATATAACCCGTTACATCCTTCTGATATAGTTGGGATCATACAACAGGGTCTATATTCGTTGGATATCTCAAAAGGGTTGGACGAAACTGTAGGAATGTCCGGAAGTGAAAGTAAAATGTGTGTGGCAAGAACATTTCCGAACAAACCAAGCTCCCAGACATGAAGTTCTTGACCTCGGACAGCAAGTGTAAGGTCTTGTATGCTATATTACTCGGTCGTGAGGAGAAGCACATTTGGATTGTAAAAGCCCTCAAAACACTTGTTCATCGCATTTGATCATTACGAACGTCACAATATTAGCCAGGCGACTTGCTGCTGTTGGCATACCACAGGTCAGAATGTTGCTGCATGTTTTTTCAGTGTGCTATCAGACGGCCTCATGACAACAAATACATAACGTCGATATCCCAGGACGGGATCGTTTGCGACAGGACGGGACCGCTTGCGACAGGCAGCTAGCAGATGAGTACATGCCAAGACGGCTCGAAATCGCCTGTGCACATGGTATTTGTATGCACGACGCAATACCTTTCTTCTTACAAGATGATAATGCACGTGTTCATCCCGCCAAGAATGTGACAATCCACCCAAGAGCAAAACGTCCATATCATGGCCAGCATCCATCCCTGACCTTTTCCAATGAAACAGATCTGGGACGTAATTGGCAGACGTGTACGTCAATTCACTGTCTCATCACCTTAGTTATGATCATAAATATTTGACATTTATAGAGCAAAACCTGCAATTGAAATGATGCAATCCTACAATATATTTCTCTGTATAAAATAATAGTTTCAAATGCTAAATTGTTCCGATCACTGCAGTAGGTATTTGCTTTGTTTAATGTCGGTAATTCGGCGACGGGGTAGTACACTTTTCAAGACATGAGGGGATCCCCCCACCAAAAAACTTTGAAAGAGTTGTGTCACTCCCCCAAAAATACCCCCAACAACTGAGTATTAAGGAAAATTTGAATGGGAGGCCGAATTAAAAAGGTAAAAATGTTTTTGAAATAAACTAAGCTGCAAAAGAAAGTATAGGTCAGAAAAAGTCAATTTACTGTGAAAGTGTTGATAGCTGGTTGAAAGTATGCATTCAGACAGTTGTCCCCAAGCACAAGGATGCAAAATCGCATCTCCCAAACACATCATGACCGGTGGTGCCACGCTGCACCAGAAAATGGTAAAACACGTGCAAAGGCTGCAGAGGGAGATGCACGTGCCGAGTTGGCGTATAAATAAGGTGAAACCATGGGTTGACAACACAGTTGACAAAAGCACACAATCGATATGCCTAGACTGACAAGAGAGGAGCGAGAGAGAGGGCGATTGGTATGCCCCAGATGGGGGCATACAGGTCCAGATTGCACGAAGGTACGGGTGCACGCCTTTAACGGTATCCAGGCTGCTGCAACGTTACCAACAGACAGGAAGGACTGTAGACAGACCCAGAAAGGGAAGACCACCCCAGGAAGATCGCCGAATTCGAACAATTCACTTACGCAACAGGTTCGTCACGGCGACGGCGACGGCGACGGCTGCAACAGCGCTGGGACATCGCATCAGCCAACGCACAGTACTCCGACGACTTCGTGCTGCAGGAATCAGAGCCTACCGTCCCTTCCGAGGAATGTTCCTGACAGCACAACATCGACGCCGAAGGGTACAATGGGCGAGGCAAGTTCGAATCTGGCAAATGCGAGAATGGCGCCGAGTACTGTTTTCTGACGAGAGTCGTTTCCAGTTGTTCCAGAACGACGGCAGACAACGAGTTTATCGCCGAAGAGGTGAACGTTTAGCTCCACCATGCATCCGAGAGGTCCATCCGTTCGGAGGGGGAAGTGTTATGGTCTGGGGAGGCATCTGTGGGGAACAGAAGACTGACCTGGTCATTGTGCAAGGGAACCTGAATGCTGTTCAGTACAGAGAGCAAGTTCTGCGCCCAGTTGTGCTTCCTTTCTTGCGGAACCAGCCACAGGGGATAGTGTTTCAACATGACAATGCCAGACCCCACACAGCAAGATTGACACAGGACTTCCTCAAACGCCACAATGTTGATGTTCTCCCTTGGCCTGCCTGTTCACCCGACATGAACCCCATAGAGCATCTGTGGGACCATCTGGGCAGACGGTTAAGGAATCGTCAACAACCCCCAGTGACGAGAGATGAGATGGAACGTGCCCTGAGAGGAGATTTGCAGAGAATCCCACCACCCGTCATCA